GGCAGTACACACAAACCTGCACAGGTTCAAGGCAGATGGGGTCCCAGTACTGGGATGGGGAAGTAGACACAGGGTTCCACCTCCAACTGAGATGCTATTTGTAATTGATATCTGTTGACAGAGAGAAAATCAGTTTTCTCCAATGAAGCTGCAACTCTGTCTAAAATGTTACCACACCCCCACCTTGGCTATAACCTGACGTAGGTTCTTCTGGGAAGGCTTTCAACCTCTGTGTGGACATCACTCCTTCATGGACTCTTCTGACCATGGACTCTGGATACGCCTGCAGTGCTCTCTCCTTGGTCTTCATAGCACTAGCCATCCTTCAGTTTATTTCTTGATGATCCAGCTTTCCTGCCAGAGTGGAGCCTTCCCAGGGGCTGGAGCTAAACCTCTCCTGGTCAGTGTTGGGGGAGCAGAGCTGCCATGTCCACAGGAGCCTCAGATGCATATTTGTTAAACAAACAGAGGAATGAAAAACCCAAGTCCACTGAGTGGGAAAGGAGTTCACAGCCTAGGGAACAGCTCATGATATAAAACAAAAAATTGAAAGATACATAGGGTGGGTAAGATGCTTCAGCAGGTAAAGGTGTTTGTGGGTAAATGCACGCTCCAGGGCCCACATGGTGGAAAGAAAGAACCCACTCCTACAAATTGTACTCTAATTGCCACATGTACACACACACACACACACACACACGCACACGCACACGCACACGCACACGCACACGCACACGCACAGAGAGAAACAGACATACATAGACACAAACATATACATAGAGACACACACAATATAATAAAAATAAATCAAAAGAAATTTAAAAAAAAGAAATTTACATAAATGAGTGAAGTAGGGGTATAGATTACATATGCAATATGATACAATTCTAGGAAAAACACCCACAGAAAAATACTTGGAGAAAAAAGGAAGGAAACACAATAAAACACTCTCCATGATTAATTATGAATTAACTACAAGATAGTTAAATTGTAAATAATCTCTCATAATTGGGCCTGGCAACATGGTTCAGTGGGCAAAAGTGCTTTTTGAGCAAGTGTGAGGACCTGAGTTCAGATTCTAGTGCTCTGGTAAAACTTCAGTTGTGGTCACGTGTGCGCTTGCAACTACAGCCCTATAGAGGGTGGAGACAGGAGAGAGACTGGGGCTTGCTGGCTGCCAGTCTATCTCCCATGTCAGTGAGAGAGCCTGCCTCAAAGCAATATTAGTGAGAGACTCTGCCTCAAAGCAATATTAGTGAGAGATCCTGCCTCAAAGCAGGGTCAGTGAGAGACCCGTTTCAAAAGAATATCAGGGACACCGATAGAGCCAGACATTTCTGGTCTTCCTCTGGCACATGTGCCTGCACACACACATACACTGCATACCCTGTACACACATAATTAGTGATCTCTAATAATTTCCAAATTCTCTGTAACATGCTCCTTGACTTCAAAATGAACTAGCTGATAGCCCATACCTGTGATCCCAGTACTCAAGAGGTTGAAACAGGAGGATGGTCAGTAGTTCAAGGTAATTCTTAGTGACATGGTTAGTTCTGGCCAGCTTGGGCTATGTGAGAGCCCATCTCAAGAAAGCAGACAATAAAAAAATACACAAGCATAAAAGATGACTGTTGGGGAACTGAGCATTGCCGTATGTGTGCTGGACATAGTATGTCAGGTCAAGAAGGTAACAGATCACAGCAAGCCCGTGTAGTGAAAGGCACAAAAGCTCTGCTTTGGTAACAGGGAAACCCCAAGGGAGGGATCAGGTGTGGAAAGACCCCCCTCCCAGAAAGGAGTGACCCCCAGATCCAGGATGACAGCTGAGCGGGTAGGACCAGGCAGGCAGAGGGCTCCATCTGATAGAGGTCCAGATCCTGCACAGTGGGATGGGAAGCAGCCGAGTCAAAGTCCTTGGCATAGGGGCCCTGCAAAGGACTGAAGAGTTCTGTTGGTGGAATACCAAGGGAGCGGGGCATTCAGGCCGAGGTGAATGTTAGTGAATCTTTGTTCTGTTTTGTTTTAGTGAGCTAGGATCTTGCCGTGTAGCCCAGGTTAACCAAGAACCTTCAGTCTTCATTCTTCAGCCTCCTGGTGCTGGATTGTGGGTGTGCGTTCCCACCCTCAGAATGGATGGATTCTGATGTGGACTGGGCAGCTCTGTGGAGGAGGAATGGAGGCAGGAGGCTGGGGAGGAAGAGCTACAGGCAACACTAAGAAGGCCAGATCCCCTCAAACAACAAAGGCAAATGGGAGGAACAGCTAACACTTGGTCGTAGTGTGTGAGAGACAGGGGTAGCAGTGACCGCCCATCCAGGCTCAGGAGAAGCCATATCCCGTGCAGGGACAGGAGGGAGAAGCTTGGCCCTGAGCATAGACAGGTTGCGGTAGAGAGGCTTCAGGAAGTGTCCCTCTGCCAAATCGGCAGGGCTGAGGAGACTGTGGGCATAAACAGGGTTTAGGCGTCATCATGAGGCCGGGTCCGCCAAGCCTACTATCACTGAGATGGTGCAGGGCACAGAATGGGTAGGGACGGGACTCTAAGCTCGGGCACAAGGACACCGAAGATGCTAGAAGATGAGGAGCTGAGGATGAAGACAAGCAGATGTGGCCCTGTGGTCACTGATGAGGTGACTGGGGTGGGTGAGGGGCAAGGCTGAGTCCAGCTCTTGCTGTGTCTCTGGATTTTGGTTCTTGGATCTCAGGCCTACCAAACAGTGGCTCTGGCTAGGTGCTCACCAAGGTCTATTGATCATTAGAGCTGCTGCTTTTGCCCCATTTATGAGTACCTACTGCATGCCTAGTGCCATACAGCCTTCTGTATACACAGCCCCCTGTGGACCACAATCATTGTCCTGTCTTAAAGAGTGTGTGTGTGTGTGTGTGTGTGGAGAGAAAGAGAGAGAGAGAGAGAGAGAGAGAGAGAGAGAGAGAGAGAGAGAGAGAGAGAGAGAGAGAGAGAGGAGAGGATGCATGATGTCCAGGGCACTGGAGCAAAAGCCAGAGCAACGAGCTTGGGGCTTGCGTTCTCCCCTTCCCCGGCAGCCATTTTGAATCGTGACTACACAGAAAGGGATCTTCCTAGGTTTGGACCACCCTTTCACCCTCAGTCTGCAAACACCATGGTCAAGGCCAGCTCTGTCTTGTTCCGGTTCCGGGATGTGAAGCACTGAGGCCCTTCCGATGGTGGCTGGGGCGAACAGTGGCTGCTTGCAGTCCCTGTGAAGGTAAGATTGGAAGGTCCAGGAGAATCCCAGGCCAGTGGCCCCAGGCAGGGGGTGCCAGGTAAATGGCCACTTTGAGGTCTGTCTGCCAAGGGACAGGGTTATTTTTCCCTTCACAGCACTCACTGGTGCTCACACAACATGGCGCCGTCAAGCTGCCTGCTGGCTACTGACCCTCTATGCTATGGCTTCTCTGAGTCTTGCAAGGTGCTCCCTGCTGGTATGAGCAGGTTGCTGGGCCAGAAGCCGGTCTGCACAGCGGGTGGCTCACGGTTGTCACCCACATTTGAACCGTGGGGAGCCGGGCCTGGCCCAGAGTCAGGTATCATGTCAGGATTCCAACCCACAGTAGTCCAAGGAGGGCGCCTCTCGCTCTGTCACTCACGAGGCAGTGCAGCTGAGGCACACGCTCCTCACAGTGGCCCATCACTAACAGTCCAAGCAGCAGGACTCACATGAGCGTCTGTGCCCACAGGGCAGGAACACCAGCCTGGCCAAGCTTCCTATGGGAGAGAGGGGAAACTAAGGCACCAACCACTGAGCCTCTGAATACATTTGTTCATCCCTTTGGCAAAAGGTCAATGCCTTTGCCCAAGGCCAAGCAAGCCTCCAGACATAGGTCCCTGGATTCTTTGTCCCAGCTCTTCTCTTGTCCCCCCCACAGCCGGCCCCAGCACCTGCAGAAGGCTGGTCATCCTGGGATGGGCTTTGCAAAGCACAGAGCCCTGTCAGAAAACTCCCGGAGCCAAGCTGCTCCTGTTTGACAAGCAGAGGCCTGTCCCAAGAAGACACCCATGTACAGTAGATGATGCACACTTGGGGCTGAGATTATGGACAAGGTTGCTGTAGCGTCTGCAGGCTGTGGACCTGTGGGTCTTCCTCCCTCACCCCGTAGCTCCCCCAGGACTCAGGCTCCTAATTTGGCCACCACAGCCAAGTTCAGCTCCAAGGAAGGCCGCGTCTAAGCACAGACCTTTGAAGACGCAGTTCCTCCTAAAACCTTGGAGAAGCCAATTACAGAGGCAGGAGCATAATCACTGTAATAAGGGTAATGAGCGGATTTATTATAGCTGACGACGGGATTTTTTTTTTCCTTGAGAAAGAAAAGAATTTACTGATATTAAGTTTTTCTTCAAGCCTCTGAGAAATGGCTCAGGTCTGGGCTTCGTCTCAAGCGGAAGGCTGGTGAGAAATAAAGCAAACAGGAGAAGCTTTAGGGACCTGGCTCTCTCCGGCGAGACGCTTTACCTCAGAAGCTGAATGGATGGATCAGGAGACAGGAAGGCGCTGGGAGGAAGTGGGAAGAGCAGACCCGGGGCCACCGGACTGGCACTCACTGCGTGTGCTGGCTCCAAGTCCTCAGCACCCCTGAGCCTTGGCGTCTTCATCCACAGAATGGGGATAATAATGCTAACGCTTCAGGGTTTGGAGGAAAATTAAATGAAGCTGCATTACATTAAGTTTAATTAAAGTATGTGTACATGTCTGGCAAGCGGGAGACAATCCATAAATATTAGCAGCCTTCCCTAATAGCAGGGATGCTCTGTGGAAAAAGCCCAGGGCTTTAAATGCTCACTGGAGAGGTGTGTGTGTGTGTGTGTGTGTGTGTGTGTGTGTGTGTGTGTGTGTGTGTGTGCGTGTGCACCACAGTACATGAGTGCAGCCGTCAGAGGACAACCTGTGACGCTTGGTTCTCTCCCTCCACCAAGTGGGTTCCAGGAATCAACCTCAGGTGGCCAGGCTTGGTGGCAGGTGCCTTTACGTGATGACCCATCTCACTGACCCAGTTTTTGTCTCTCACCTGTAAAAGCCTAGAGGTAAACAGACCAGAGCTAGTGCTGTGTTTGAACAATCTGCTGGGACCCAGGACTCTACACTTGCTGTTCTGCCAAGATCAACAGGAAGCTGACACCTCATGGCCTCACGTGGCTGCCCTTCTCCAGAAAACACATCCTATTTCCAGCGAGCAGGAAGTAGTGAGGTGTGTGGTAGGGCTTTCCAGCTTTCTCTGAAGGGATGGCTCAGAAGTCAGACATGACACTGTCCCACAAACCTTCGGATTGAGTTGGTCACGTGGTCCCATTGGTATCAAGGCATTCTGCGGAGTGTGGCGTCTATTCCAGTAGCCATGTGCCCAGTCACACTTGAGGTCCTCTTGTTGAGGAAGGGAATAACGCTTCACCTCGGCCCCAGTGCCCACGTGACAGGCGGCCGCATGGGCTAATGGGGCGATGGGTGTGGAATTCCTCAGCGTACCTGCCCCTCAAAGGGTTCAGCCACACTTCCCCTCTGTGTCCTAGGCTGGCCCATCTTCTGACAGGCCTCTTCCCATGAGCCTCTGGTGCTTCCAAATCTCTTGGATCTGACTTGCCGGCCTGAGTCACAGGGGAGCACACTCAGCTGCATGTGTGGGGTTGGGGACAGAGGCATTTTTTGTTTTCACAGATGGTTTGGCAACAGGGTAAGCCAGGCAGCATGGATATCTTTGCCACTAACATTTTAAATTAAAAAAAAAATTAGCAACTTTGCTTTTAGATATTGTTTATTGATGTGGAGAAATGTAATTCCTGTGATCATTTGTTTTGTTTTTTTTAAGGAAGTCAAACACACAAAACAGTAGGTCATGTGACCCCATCTATGACAATTTTGTAGGTACTTTTTTTTTTGAGACAAGGTCTTACTATGTAGCCTTGGCTAGCCTAGAACTGAAATATAGACCAGGCTGGACTCAAACTCACAGAGAGTTTCCTGCCCCTGTCTCCTGAACGCTAGGATTTAAAGGCGTGCGGCACCAAGCCTGGCCCCGAAGTCGCTGTCATACATTGCAAAGAATCTAAAATAAAGACAGACAGCTTCCCTGGCCCCTTCCCTATGGTCTTGAGGCAGTTTCTTCTTCTTCTTCTTCTTCTTCTTCTTCTTCTTCTTCTTCTTCTTCTTCTTCTTCTTCTTCTTCTTCTTCTTCTTCTTCTTCTTCTTTCCCCTTGTGACGTTCCAAGTTTCTCAGGATCCCAGGCTACTTCCACAGTCATAAAAATGACAACCCAGCTCACAGTGAGGCAGGTGAAATCTGCACTTCTTCACCCTAGGCTCACTTTTAGGTTTGGGACAAAGCCCTGGGAACTGTTCCTCATGTCAGTCAGGAAATGGAGACCACAGTCACAGGTCACGGGAGGCCTGGAGAGTGCGGGCTGCTGGGCTCTCTGAGCCACAGAAGAAATGGTCTACATGAGTCGCAGCAGGCTGGATAGGACCCAGGGAGCAGGACTTCTCTTTTGCAGACCCTCACACCGAACAGCCCCTCCTCAGGCCTCCGCGTTTCTCTCCCACTTGGCTTGGGGTTGGGGTGGGCGTCGTCCCAGGGAAAGACAGAGCTCAAAGAAGCTAGCTAGACAGAGAGCAGGGGGCCAGAGGGCTAGGTTCTGGCCCCAGGTCCAGCCTCAGTTGTCCTACCTGCACAAAAGAGAGTCGGGGCCTCAGCTCCAGAGCTCTTTGAGGCCAGAACTCCAAAGCTCTCCACTCAGCACTCAGATCCACCGAGTTTCTGGAACATGTTTACTCTGAGGAGACCACTTACCTCCCCCTAACCAGAACAGCTCCGGTCCCCTTTCAAAGTTACTGGCAGCCACATTTGCCTCACATTCCACACACCTGGGGTCCCTGCCACTGAGCCACAGCAGGGGCAAACTTCTTGTTGAGGCAGGCGGAGGGATGGGAGTGGGCGAGATGGTGGGAAAGGTTTCAGGAAATAGACTGGGCATTCAGTCCCCTCCTCTTTTTTTTTTTCTTTTCCTCTTTCATTTTTTTTTTTTTTTGAGTCCGGGTCTCACTCAGTAGCCCAGGCTGGCCCGAAACTCGAAGCGATCTTCCTTCTTCAGCCTCTCAAGTGCTGCGATTTCAGGCTTGAGCTTACTACCTGCCTCTTCCTCCCTTTGCTCTGAACTCTTTTTTTTCCCCCCTTAGGAATTGTTTTATTTTCTTTCTATTGTTGCATTTTTTTTTGTGTGATCATGGTTTTTATTTATTTATTTTTTAATGCCGAATGCTGTTTATTGAAGGAGGGAAGAGGTCTTAAATACAGGCTTACAGCACAATGGGAGAACCCCGGAGGGCAGAAGTTCGCTACTGATGTTTTACAATCTTGCATCTAAGCTGTTAACGCCCATTATGCAGGATACACAGACAAGGAACTTCCCTTAAGCATTCTGGAGGGTGGAACCTGGCAGGGAATTAGCATAGGGAGGATATCAAGGTCAAGGTCAGCAAGCAAGGCAACAGTTACCCAAAACGGGGGCCAGGACCCTACAAGTCCCCCTTTTACTAAAAAATGAGCTTCTGACTTGGGTTGCGTGGGACGTCAGCAGGTCACCTTACCGGTCATGGAGACGCCTGCCCAGGCCACACAGGCGTCTTTGAGCTCTTCTTGAAGAGACCCACACACAGATGGGTGATCCCTCCTGGACCCTGGATTACGTACAAACCACACCCAAACACTATTTTTCACAGAGGGATCCTTTTATCAATCGGGGAAGAAAAAATAAAGTGGCTGATCTCGGACCCACCTGTTTGGCCAGGCACTGACTATGGACTTCCTTCTGCCTCCCCCTCCCCTCTCTGGCCTGCTTCAGTGTGTGGGTGACCCCTCCTTTGCAGCCTTTCCCTCACAGATAGACAATCTGACAGGCCACACCCCTCAAATTCCTCAGCTCCCGGAGTCTCAGGCTCTCACCTCCCCAAGCCTCTCAAATTGTTTTCTCCCTGACACTAGTGGACCCTGCTTTCAAGTGACAGTCGCCCCCAGTTAACCTCACACAGTCAATCTAAATTTCCCTGGCTCCTCAGACAGACTCCTGATAACACTCCTGTCAATCCGTAGCCTAAAATTCCTCACCTGTCTATTCCTGAGGTGGGACCTCTCCTCTTTCCCTGGTCTTAGACTCCTCTTCCCAACTTCCAGGGCCATGGGCCTAAAAGTTTCAATCGTACATCTAAGGTCAATCTTTTTTCCTAAACTTAACTTCACCTCTGTCTGTAGTCTGTCTGTCCCAACAGATGTCAAATCAATGGCAGGTTGCTCCAGCAACTCCACTGCCAACCCTAGCTGTCTCCTCAGAATCTACATCCTGGTCCAGCCTCACAGACGACACTTCCCTAGCCTCAGATGGTCCCGCAGAACCCAGACATCAGCTGACACAATCTGCTCTTCCCAACCTTGACCAACAACCCAGCTTCCTGGGGTCCCCTAACAACAACGCCCCAACGTCAGCAGGAAGCAGCCAGAGAGACCGATGCCCACTTACCCAACACCCAGACAGCCAATAATAAAACGGAAAGGTGGAAATGAAGGTCTCCAGCAGGCCCGAGCACGGCAAGCATGGTACTGAGAGGGTTTGTTTTTTTGACTTCTCTCCCATCTCCTCCACCTTGCTAAACCTTGAGATTACATTCCTAAAGCCAGCCAAGGTCTACTCCCTTATTTGGCCACTTTCTCCTCCTGAGGCTGATCACCAAGGTCCAGCTATCAAAGTATTGAAGTTCAGCAATCAAAAGCTCCCCCTTGGCTCATCTAATTAACACACCCAATCAAAATTAACCAACTCATCCTAATATGGGGTTTCTCCTTTTACCTTTATAATCTGCCATTTGCCTACGGGCCATGTCTGTCTCCTTTCTATCCAGAGGCAGTCCTTTGTCTCTCTGGGACAAATATCTTTTCCCCTTCTCCCTCATCCTCTACCTCCTGTCTTTGTTTCTTATTCTCTGCCCTCGGTCCCTCCGCTGCACGTAAATCTCCTTCATGCTGAGAAGTTGGTCTTGGGGTCCTTGCTCTTCTTTCTTCCCCCTCCTCTCCCCTCCTGCCCCCCTCTCTTTCCCCCCACCTCAGTTGCAGGTGCTCTGGTTCACAATTCCCTCGTCTTCCTCCTGCCCTGGAATTCTATTCTCCTCCCCAGTCTGGGCCTTGCAGCCCAGAGCCTTGGGCTCCACCAGCTGCCGGCAGACCCTGCTTTCCCAGTACCGAAGCAGGATGTCTCCCTTAATGGACACTACCTGCCTTGTCTTTCAGAGCATCCTGCACAACAGCCCTCTAATTTACCAAACTGCTTCAGCTCTCCTGTAATCACTGGCTGCCTCCCCACACAGGCTCCCAGGAGCCTTTCTGTCTCCGTCCTTCCCAAGGCCCCGTGGGGGCCCTCACAGTTCCACAGCCCATGTGCCAGCAGCCATCACTGGTCCCCACTCAGGCTCCTTCTCTGGGTCCTGATGATGCTTCTCCCATTGTGTCGGCTCCTGACCCCATTGGATGCAGCTATTCTAGGAACCTAGAGGAGCCAGCAATTTCGTGCTCATAATTATGTGTTATTTTTCTTAAACAGGGCTTTGGAAACAGAATGAGCCTCAGGGTCCAGAAAACCCGGATCCACCCTGTCTCCTGTTCTGGCAACTGTCTCCAAGCAGCTCCTGAGGCTGGTGCCCCATGTTCGGTGTCCTGCTAAGAGGCCAAATCTGGGAGTCAGAGCCTCGGATGGTACGGGACATTTAAGGGGTGTATTTGAATTGGAAGCAGCTGTTCTCAGCTCTTGCTAAGCCTGGAGCAGGGGGTGGGTCTCAGAAAATTCAACAGCACCTAAAGCTGACCTGAGCCAGTGGGGCAGGGGATGGGGGTGGGGGGAGGAGGGGGAGGTTGGGGGGAGAGCACAGCTCCTATGTAGGAGGAGCTGGTTTCTGGAGATGGGATGCCCTCAAGATGCTAGTCTGGGGGTTGTTTGTAGGACTGTTGGCAGAAACTGGGGTGAAGCATGGGACGTGGTCAGTGCAGTTGGGGTAAGCCAGGTTCTTCCTCTCAGGGTTCATCAGGCCTTCGCCGTGGCTTCCAGGCAGGAATGTGAGATAACAAGGAACCAGATCTCTCAGCATCCTGGCCTCCAGCAAGGACATTCCAGAGCTGCTGCCTTGGAGTCTCTTGCCCTACTTGGACTCGTTCTTATCAAGGCCAGTCCTCTGTCCACGCTTCCCTCCTCCCTCCCTCCAACCCAGCCCTAGAAGGGGCTTTAGATGAAAATGGAGAGGTTAGCACACAATCACCCCAGGGGCGCTGTCCATTTTCGGTCTCCTCCTTTACCTATCCCCTAAGTGACACAGGAGTCCCCTCCCTCCCTTCATCATCACCCCTCCCAGGGGAATGCTACTTGCACATATATTTTTCCTAACTACACAGGGACACGATGTCACCCCCTCTCACCTCGCAGTCCAGTCCCCTCTTGACATTTCACAGGGGGAGGTGTTTCTTGCAGGGCATCTGATTTCTAGAAGACCCAAGAGCACATCTGGATGGATGCTCTCTAGCCTCAAGCTCAATCAGTAGAACATGGGACTCTTAATCCCAGGGTGGTGGGTTCAGGCCCCACATTGGGCACTAAATATTGTTGGACCTTCTTTGGACTGCTGGTTCCCAAATAATGACATAGAGACTTCTTATTAAGTACAAAAGCTTGACCTTAGCTTAGGCTTGTTCCCAACTAGCTCCTAAAATTTAAATTAACCTGTTTATATTAATCTATGTTCCGCCATGTGGCTTGTTACCTCTCCTTAGTACTGCACATCCAACTTCCTCTGTGTCTCACTGGCAAATCTCTGCCTCTCAGATTCTTCCCCAAGTTCCTCTCTCTCCCCATAAGTCCTGCCTATCCTCTCCTGCCTAGCTATTGGCCACTCAGCTCTTTATTAAACCAATCAGAAGGTGCCCTAGACAGGTGAGGTAAACCAGAGTAGTTACTTATGGGCACTCCCCATGTAAGCAGACAAATTATATACATTGTTGTTAATGACAAGCCAGGTCTTTGGAAGAACACAGACACCCATCTACTTTACAGACAGAAGGCCCTATCCTCTTGACTCTTTGGGTTGTGTGATTTCCTCCTTCTCCTGCATTCTTCTCCAGGGGGTGTGGAATGGGTGGTGGGGTCCCAGGGTGCACCCCAGAACAAGTCCTTCAAGCCTGGCATCAGCTGTTGGAGTTGCCCTTTGTTCTGGGCTCTGCTATACTGTTTTAGGCATCTTTAGTGTGATGACTGGCTCTTCAAGTCAGAGCTGAGTTCTCCCCAGTGGGCTCTGTGACAAACAGACGCTTGCTAGTTACTTCATCCTCCTGTCCATCCGGCTGGGGTAGGACTGGCCATCCTGGGAGGAAAGAGATGGATCTTTTAGTCACAGTCTTCACAGGTTATAAACAACACAGCCAGGCTGTGGGTTTTTTTTTTTTTTTTTTTTTTTTTTTTTTTTTTTTTTTGCTGCTATAATCTAATATTCCTTTGGGGTTTGTTTAGCTTTGGTCTGATGTCTGGAAAGATTATATTTCTCAAAGTGGCTAATGGTCTCCCTCCTCCCCCTCCTCCCTCCCTCTCCTCCCTCTCCTCTCCTTCACATTGTCCCCCTCATGTAACCAGAAGTTTCTGTCCCACCAGCAACTACCAATACCCAACAGCCACTTCCCAAATTACCACACAGAGGCAATGTTTCCATCAGCAACATTTAAGCCTTCCTGGGCAAAGCCAGCTGTCAAACTGAATTAAATTTGGCCCAGTTCTGGCCCCATACATAATTTACATTTGACTTAAAGGTTTCTCTGCACATCACGAACTAATGATGTGTAAACACGATGTGACCTAACCTGCCTCAGAGCCAAGTTAAGAGATAAACTGTGGTTTGAGTCTTTATGGACCCTGACCAGCTTCTTTTTGTGGATCCAGAATCCAGCAGCAGTCTTGACCAGGGATGGCTCAGACAGCAAGACCTCACTACATGGGCAGGTGTGGAGCCAGAGAAAAGGACACAGACAAGGGAAGTGAGCCTGCCTAATCTGGTACAAATCACCTCTGCCAGCTTGTGCTTGGCTGAGCCTCAAGAGCAACCAATGAGGACATTAAGAACAACAGGCTGGGCTGGAGAGATGGCTCAGAGGTTAAGAGCACTGGCTGCTCTTCCAGAGGTCCTGAGTTCAACTCCCAGCAACCACATGGTGGCTCACAGCCATCTGTAATGAGATCTGGTGCCCTTGTCTGGCCTGCAGACATATATGCAAGCAGAACACTGTATATGTAATAAATAAATAAATCTTTAAAAAAAAAAAAACCCAAAAACAACAGTCTCCACCTCCCAGAAAGTTCCCCCCTCCACACCAGTTCAGCACCCTACCGAACCTCCGCTTTCCAGGGTATGCCTTATCCCCCATCCCCCAACTCTGCATTCCAATCCTAGCTCCTGAGGCATCTCACTGGCCAGTGTCCAGGGGAGGGAGCCTCTAAGCTCTATGGATTCCCTGGACCACAAGAGTATCATTCATGGTGGGTTCTTGGGACCACAACTAATAGTAATGCGGTAACTCATGGTGGTCCTTGGCATATTCAGCTAACTAGGAGCTCAGGGTGGGGGACTGGTGATATCAGAAACCACTGTGTTATTAGAAAGTTTTTTTGGTGTTTGAGCCATAAGAGGTCAAACTGATTTGGGATGTAGGAGAAGGGATTAGTATCTGAGTTCAACCACATGGACAATGATCTGTCACCTGTGAATATATGTAATGGACCCCCTTTAAACCTGGGCATTGAGGCCCTGGCCAGATAGTCAAGCAACCTTGGGTGGCCGTAGTCTGTACATGTCACAGTTTAATTTGGAAACTTGGTGGGACCCTGAGGATGACAGACGCTTCCTGTTGGGAGCCTCTTACTTTCTTCCCAATTTCTTGATCAGCTCTAATTTGCATCCTTTTGCTGCAAAATGCAGGAGCAAACAAGGCCAGCAAGATGGCTTCGTGAGCCAGGTGACTGGCTCGCAAGCCCAGCAGCATGAGTTCAACCTCTAGAACGTTCCACGGAAAGGTGGAAAGAGAGAGTTGGTTCCAGGAAGTGGTTGTCTGGTCTCCACATGCACACAACGGCACACACATCCTACATCCCCACAATGATCATACAATTCAACAAGCCGTAATCCTTCAGTATGGTGCTCTCCTGAATTCCGTGAGCATTCTAAGGGATGATAGAAATGGGGGGAGTCTGTGGACACCTTTGTAGTTAGTCAGCGGGTCTAAAGGGAGGCGGCCTGAGACCCCTGAACTGGTCACTGGTGTGTGAGGCCATCATTGCGTGGGTTGTGTCCTTAGCCTTGCGTTGGGCTGACTCCAGGTCGCAGCCCCTCTCTGAGGACCTCGGCTTCTTTGCCTTTCTCCACAGCCACATTGACCTCTCTGATCAGCCTCGTGGCTCCGAGCTCTTCCTTGCCAAACCATTGGTCTGCCCATTGTGAGAGAGATTGTCCTAACACCCAGCAGGGCCTGGTACCCCTGGCTTCCTCTGAGTAACCCCTAGCCCCCTCAAGCCTTCAGAGGCTCCTGTGACCTCCTTGCCCTGCACGCGAAGACCAGCACTGTGGCCTTCCTCTGACCTTCCTCTTCCTCCGGGCCAGCCTGGGAGCTCTCCCGATGACTTGACTCGTCCCTGGTAGCTTCCTGAACCTTGTGGGTGCAACATGGGTCCTATCTCCACTTCGGCCTTGAAGTTTAGCAACAGGCTTCATTTCCTCCGGGAAGTTCACCTTTGACCCTTTCCCCTCTGACTCAACACCGACTTAAAGCCGTTTCCCTCACCTCAGCCCCTCCAGCCCCCAACTCTGTATCCCGTGATGGAGTTTGGGGTTTGCCCTTTGATGACTGGACTGTGGGCTTCTCAAGGGCGAGAGTGCTGTCATCCGACCCTGTGATTCCATCCAGGACACGTTCATGGGGTGGCCAGACCCGTGAGTCACCAGCTCTCAAGGATCCTCTGTGATTCAGTTTCCTAACAAAGTCAGATTTACAAATGTTTATCAAATGGAATTATCGCCAGTAACCACTGGGCCGTAGGTCAAGTTAACACTGCACGAAGAAGACTCAGACTCCCACCCACACCTGTCCCTTTGTATCCTCACGTGACATTTATCATCACATGTGTCCTATGAAGAGAATTCACTACGGAGATATCCGATCATATTACCTAATTTTAGCCAAAGCAATTCAAATAGAGAAATGGCCGGGGCTGGCCGGAGAGTTGTCTCAGTGGGTCAAGGTGCCGATTGCCAAGCTTGAGGACCTGAGTTCAATCCTCAGGACCCACGTGGCCGAAGGACAGAGCCAACTCCCTACAAGTTGACTTCTGACCTCCACAAGGGTGCCATGCATGGATCCTGGTGCATATGAGCATCTACACACACACACACACACACACACACACACACACACACACATACACACACACCATGTAAATCGTTTCTGAAGTTAGAGAAATGCCTTTAAAAGTTTACTAGGTTCCAGTGAGATGACTTGGTGGTGGAAATGTTGGCATCGAAAGCTTGAAATTCTCCATTTGTGCAGTGTGGCATGAGTGCCCCACAGATTACGACAACTAATCTAATCTGGGCATGTGGCTTAGTGGCTACTAAGCATGCTTAAATGACAAGCTGAACTATTGGGGGGGTCCCCAAAAGAGACTGATCCTAGTATCTGAGCTCAAGTGAGCAATAGGTGCAGTTTAAGAAATATTTGGGTGGTGGTGGAGATGGAGGTGGAGGAGGTGGTGGTGGAGGTGGTGGTGATGGAGGTGGTGGTGGTGGTGGTGGAAGTGGTGGAGGTGGGTGGTGGTGGTGATAACAGGGAAAGGAAGTATTTTCTCAACTGTAATTGACCTCCCCGGGGGAAACAACATGTTATTGAAACACTCAGAGCTGTTGAAGTGGCATCTGACCTGGAATTTAAAAAGATAAGAAAATCAGGGTCCAGTTACAGAGACAGACAGGAACTCACGGCCTTGTCCCTGAGGCTGGGGGAGGGGAGGACACATACTCCATGGGGCTGTCCCCTCGATAAAAACAGGAACTTATGCAGACATGGATTTTTCCAATGCTTTGAAATGAGGGAAAGAGGGAATAAAATATTTTGTTCCAAAAGTCCACAGATGATCAGGGCAGAACATTAAAGAGATTCTGTGAGTTTCAAACAAATACACCAAAGATTAGCCGGTGGACTCACTGACCTTTCCTCTGGTGTCAGCTACTGTGGGTGGTGGGTCGCTCCCTAGATTTTGA